CAAGGATTGTCAGCAACCACCAGAAGCTGGAAGAGGCAAGGAGTATTCATCCCTCGAGACTTCGGAGGGAGCGTAGCCATGCTGACATCTTTATTTCAAACTTCTAGCTTCCTGAACTGAGTGAATAAACTTCTGTTCTTTTATCCACCAAGTTTATGGTATTTTGTTATGGCAGCCCTAAGGGAACTAACTAATACAGTTATGTTGCTTGAATTCTGAATACAATATGATGATATATAATAAAGTGCTAAAAGATTAATTTAGCTTTGTAAAATTGAATTCCCGCAAAGAAAATTTCTTTAAAAATTTGCTCCAAATAATGATAAATGGAGAACATAAATAAAGAAATGAGTGTAATTCCTGGGATGCTTCATTAAGGGGGTGACATGACCATACAGAAGAGAAGCACAGGCCAGTAAAAAAATTCTGGGAGGCTACTGTCCCAACTTATCTGATACCTTAAACAAATGCTAGAAACATAAATAAGAATTTTAAAGCTAGGGTGTCCAACCATCCTAGTTTTCCCAGGACTAAGGATCTTCCCAGGATATGAGACTTTCCGTGCTAAAGCTGGTTCAGTCCCAAGCCAACCAGGATTAGTTTAAATCCTCCTGCTTGAAGTACATTAGGTGTTAAAAAAAAACCCACCAACTGGTTCTCTAAAAAGACCCATAAAATAAAACAGATAAAGCTTTAGTTAGATCAGCAATACACTACAGGCAAACCACAATCCTGGCCCCATTCGGCCCAATCCCACCAGCTATCTGTTTTTTCACAGCCTGCAAACTAAAAACTGTTCTTTTACATTTATAAGACAAATGGTTACATTTTAAGTTGCTATCTAAGTAGCTAAGTAGCTACATATCCTAGATTTTTGCCTCTTAGCCTACAAAGCCTAAATTATTTACTATTTCACTCTTTAAGGAAAAGTTTGCTGATTTCTGAGCTAGACTGTTCAAGAAACAAAAAGAAGGCACTGGGGCTGGCCGAGTGGCTCAGTTGGTTAAGAGCTCGCTCAAGAGTGCGAGCTCTGAGCAACAGGATCACCGGTTCGATTCCTGGCCTGAGCTGAGTTGCCGCTGAGCTGCCAACAGGAGGCAGGATGGCTCAGCTATAAAAAAAAAAAAAAAAAAAGAAGGCACAGATCACCACTACTAAAAATGAAAGAAGGATAAGAACATCCTACAGACATTTAAAGGATAATAAGGGAATATTACCAAATTACACTAAAAATTTGATAACTGTGATGAAATGCATACATTTCTTGAAAGATAAAATTGTCAAAATGGAGTTAAAAAAACAAACAGAAAACCTGGGTGCAACTCGTTCTCTAAATTCGCCTGCAATTTCCTCTTAAGTGTGTACTTTCATTTTCAGTAAGTCATTTTCACTTTCCTGCATCTGCCTCGCTTTTGAATTCTTTCTTATAGAGACAATAACCCAGTCACCACTGCTCCAGGTTGAGTCCTCTCTTGGACATCTCCATGAGCCTCTGGTGACAGTTTGATACGTTCTAACTTCATATTTATTATTTTAGGCTTATTTCTAGATATGTTCCACTGACCAGTTTGTTTATTCCTCACTATAAAAAATTATTGAATTATATGATAGAGCAACTCTCTCCTCATGACTGTTATTTTTCAAAACCATTCCAGCTTTTGTGAAGCACTTAATTTGATCAAGTTAAACATTTTAAATGTTATTATTTTAACTAAACCACTTTTTAATTACAGAGGTTCATTTGGAGATAGCAAGGTACATTTACATATCTTGTATCTAAGAATAATTTTTCTAATTATTTATGAAGGATCCCTTCTCTTTTTCATTCTCAAATATGTGCCTCCAGCAATGGATCCCTTCTCTCCAGCATAATTAATTGACTCCTTCCTGGATTATTTTTATCAGCAAATAAGCATGATCTAGTTTCTGTCTTCCTTGGGGACTGGGGGTGGGGGGGGCGCGGGGAGGAGGAAAAAAAACAAAACCAGAAAACCTAAAAACCTAAAGAACCCTATAAAGGAGTTGATTTAGTAATTTAAAACCACTCCCAACCCTGCCCCCCCAGAAAACAAAACAAAAAAAAAGGGCCTTATGGCTTCACTGGTGAATGCTACCAAACATCTCAGGAAAAAATAATACCAACTCTCACACAAATACTTTCAGAAAACAGAAGAAAGGAATGCTTTCCAATTCATTTTATGAGGCCAGTATTATCCCAATACTAAAAAGCCAGGGAGACATCACAAAAAAACTATGGATTAATATCCTTCATTCACACCTGCACAAATCACTAACAGTAAATTAACAAATCCAGTGGGTAATATATAGAAAGGATAAAGTATCATGAAATGGAGACCATCCAGGGAACTCAAGGTTGATTTACCATGTAAAAATTAATTGATATGCCATTATTAACAGAATAAGGGAGGGAAAAAATCATATGATTGTCTCAATAGATGCAGAAAAAACAGTTAACAAAATTCAATAACCATTTACGTTACAAACCCTCAACAACAAAATAAAGAGTTAAGACAAATCTTCAGCCAACTAGGAACAGAAGAGAACTTCCTTGACCTGGTACCAGGAAGCTACAAAAACCTACAGGAAAAGGACCTATACTCAAGGGTGAACGACCTTCCCCCAAGGACAGGAAGCAAGGCAAAGGTTTCTGCTCTCACCATTTCCACTTATTTTGCATGACGGGCAGGGATGGGTGGAGGGGTGATCCCTAACCAATGTAAGAAAAGAAAGCAAGAAAAAGAAATAAAAGACATGCAGATTGGAAAGAAAGAAGCAAACTCTCTTTATGCATTGATGACATGATTGAATATATACAGAAAATTCTAGGGGGAAAAAACCCACCTACTAGAACTAATAGTGAATTGGTACATATAGCATATAAGATAATACACAAAAATCAACTGTATTTCTATATGCAAATAATGCCAGAGAAAATAGCTAACAGAACAAAAAGTATTTCACCAGTATACTAGGTAGACTAGAGATGAAGGAGATAGAGAACCCCCATTTTGTTGTCTTTTATTACTCTTTGATTTGAAGTTATATTGTCTAGACACTACTTTTTAAGCTTAATTGCTAGTAGAAGCCATTTTTAAATAAAATTTTATACAGAATCCCAAAACACATATCAAAAAGTGGATTAAAACAATAAGAATAAAAACCTGAATTCAATCTTTCTCCTTCCTGCTGAGTTAACTTGGCAGCACCCTAGTGTTCTCTTCAATACTTTAAAAATGGATGAACTATTTCTAAGATGATAATATAAATGTTCTCTTTTTTAAAAGAGATCACCTTAGATCAGTACACACACACAACAAAAAGCAGTAGAAAACTGAACATAACTGATCTATCATGTAAAACTCAGAGCAAACACCCAAGTCAGTGAGTACCTACTATGTGTACAGCATGGTACCAGATACAAAACAGTAATACCCAACTCCTGTTTGCTCTTAAGGGATTTACATGTAATAAACAACTTGTCCTGAAAGCAGAGGGTTGAGATGCTTTCACCTGCACCCAGTACCATATTTATAAATGCTATCCTGCTCTTTTGTTCTATAGATATAATAAAAGAAGGGAAAAAACACATATATGGTCTGCAAACCCTGTGCCAGGAGTAGTGAGGTCAGGGATGCTTTGGAATTCATAATTTTTTGGATTTTACAGAGGACACACAGGGCATGTACATAATTATATGATATTCCTGGAGTGGTCTGGGGAAGCACCCTGTTGTTTAAAAATATTAACAATTCTATATTGAACTCTATAATTAATATTCTAAGGAGGAATATACACAAAAAGTGTAATAAACAAAGACAACAAAACAGCTTCTCAACTCCTCAACTAGGTTTTACTGTCAAAGGACTTTCCACAAAAACCTCTGGTTCTCACAGGTTTGGGGATTTTGGAATGTGGACCTCACAAGAGGCTCAAAGTACATATAAATTGATCAAAAAATAAGAAGAAACAAAATCTACTCCATTTCTTTTAGATCACTACTGCAAAATATGTGATAGCCCTTGAACATGGTAAATTACATCTATGTGCTGCCTCCTACCACCGCTTACATAATCTTAGGTAAATTTCTATCCTTAAGAGAATGGAAGTAAAATATAAATTAAGAAAATTCTAGTTTCCTTCAGTAATTTATTTCAGTATCTACCACTTGTAAGCAGCATAACATTAAATTTTAGGGCCATAAACAAAAATTTAAAAACACATAGGATGTGAAGCTAGGATCCTTTCTGACCTCTGGGATCAAACCTATAAAATTTGTTCAGAGCCAGAAGTCATTACCTAAAGTTATTCTTCATGTTTATTATGGAAAACAGACTCATTAAAGATTCACGGACATGTGATTGAAGTTTACCTATAAAATCCTAAAGAATGAATGATCTCCTTTTATAAGATAACTCCAAAGAACTAATGAGAGTTACATAGGTTAGCACTACATGAGAAGTGTATAATGAAACAGACTTGCATGTGAGAAGGAAGACATTTCCTGTTCACATGTGTATCAGCATGGATCTATATATGCACATACACATGAAGCCTCAGGATGTTGTTTCATTTACTTGCATTTGTAAGGAGGGAATAATATCATTCTGATTGTCACACATACAGTAACAAACATATAATTTTGCTGGGCCTGTTACAAAAGATATATTTTGAGTTGCCTGTCCCTAACTATTTCTCACATAAATTCTTTTTGGTTTTGGTACACAATTTTGGAGAACTTAAGAATTTTCAGGAACATATCTCATTATAGCAGAAACATCTATATACAAAGTAGCTAAGACAATCCTTTATAATATCCTAGTATTTCTGAATAATTTCTTTTTTGTCTTTCTTGGTAAGGCAATAAATCATCATGTTCCATAAAGCTATCCTTAATATTCTTGAAGCATAACATTTTGCACTTCAAGAACACAACCATTCTTATTAATATTATATTCAAAAGTAGCCATCAAATTACTAACCTCCTGTATTCCAAGGCAAAGATAGTAGATGCTGTCAGGTGCATAATTCTCTCCATTCGGCCGGCGAATCTCATTGACAAAATGGGCTAACCCATAGTTAAGCTCAGCCGTTGTATGAGAGAGTAGATCCTCTTTTAACTTTACTGATTTAGCTAAAAAAATATATATAGTAATTATTATTTACTGTCTTAAGATTAAGAAACTCCCTGAAATTAATTTATTCGATATAAGAAGTTAAAAGTAAAGTAAAAGCTACATTTATATTTTTTAAAATTAAAGGTAGTTAACAAAAATCTTGATTTTAAATAGGATCTAGGGGAAACAAAATCAGAACACTTACGAGATTTTAGCTCATCTAATACCAGAAGATCTTCATCAAGTTGCCTAGTTTTGACCCAGTGTTTCCATGCGTTTACACCATATGTGTATTTGAAAGGAAAGCTGCATTCTGAATTGTCAGAACTATCATCATGAGACTGGTATCCTGATACAGCTTTTCTCTTGGCTCCCTATTAGTAAAACACCATTGTAAAATCTTTTTTTAAAGCCTATATTATTTCATGACTTTATGTAAGCCATCATTCAAAAAATGCAAATTAAAGAGACATATATTTATATGCTTAGAACTGACTGGTATTCCTGAATCTGAGATTAGTTACCTATAACATTATTTGAAACATATCTCCAGGAATGCCATATTTCTACACAAACCACTTTGTACAATAAAATCCTATTAACTTATGCTGTGAGCCACTGATGAGAAAATAAATACCATATTTTGCTGTGTATATTGCACTCCTGTGTATAATGCACATCCACATTTTTGGCCCAAACTTTCAGGGAAAAAATCGTATTTCAGGGTATTATTTTGCATACGGATGTCGTCATTGATTTCTAGAGTTACACTTTTAACTCATAGGGATAAAGAAAATAATTAAAAACATTTATATAAATACAGAATTAGTTCTACCCATGTATAATGCACATCCTTATTTTTCCCTCACAAATTTGGACAAAAAAGTGTGCATTATACATGGCAAAATACGGTATACGACATAATAAACTAGTAATCTGAAATAAAAGGATTCTAAATATTAATATGAGAGAGAAGCTGGAGAACTTGTCAACGAGTCTACCTCATAGAGAATGACCACTCAACTGCTTTTCACTTTCCTGATGGCACTGTTTGCTGTACAAAAGTTTTAAATTTTAATGTAGTCCAATTCATCTATTTTTTCCTTTTGTTCCTTGTGCTTTTGGTGTCATATCTAAGAAACTATGGGTAATCCAAGGTAATGAAGGTTGAAGCCTATGTTTTCTTCTAAGTGTTCTATAGTTTTAGTTCTTCCATTTAGTCTACGATCACTTTTGAATTACTTTTTGTGATGTCGGGTAGGAGCCCAACTTCATTCTACTGCACGGTGCTCACTCCCTTTTCATTCAGTTTCTTTCTTTGGGGGAAATTTGTGAGTTATCTTTCGCTGTTTTTTTTTCTTCTTTTGATCTTTCTTTATGTTGGAAATCAGAAATATAGAAAGTTGTTAATAAAAATATTTACAATTAAATCTGTTAATACATTTAGATTTGGTTTACCTGAACAACTATTAAAGTGCCCAGCATGTCCTCCTTGTATTGGCGTGCTTAAAAGCGACCAGATATAATATACTATGTACTTCAACCTCACTGATTACTCTCATAAAAAATAATGATGGAAAAAACCGCTCCCTAGAAAATAGTCTCAATTCTTGTCAAATAATTGAATTTACTTTTTAAGCAACTATGTCTACCTTCTATCAAGATAAAATTAAAAAGAAATACTAAGTGGCAGTAATAATCACTCTTCTGCTTCATTATGAAGTTGCAATTAAATCTCAGCCATTTTTATTACTTACAAATGAAGTAATACAGACTCCTCTTAAAGTCTTTTTAAATCTAGAACACAAAATATCTTCCCGTATTCACAGACACAACTGAAGACCACTGTATCCTTCCTCTATACCTATATGGAGATGCTACTATACAGAGGTATTAAGCAAATGCAAGAATACTATTAATTTATACCTTTTTTTTAGATCGAGGTCTAGGTTGTTCCTCATATTCTTCTCCAAAAACAGGTGGTAATAAAAATTCATTTTCCATATCAAGCTCCTCAGCAGCTGATAATTAAATTAGAAGAATTTTTATTTCAAATTTAATAGTACAGGCTTATGTTACATAAACACAGCCAACAAAGAAATAACCTCAGCACATAAACAGGCACCCATGGGAACAACCTATGCTGGGTGGAGAGTGAATGATCTTCTGTACCTAGCATGGCCTGTGAGTTCTGATAAAACCCTGTTTCAGATTCTTAAAAACATGTATAATGAATAACAGCACCGAATTTTCATGGAAATCATATCAGAAAAAATTATTACAACCTGAAATTCAATTATAAGATCTAAATAGTCTTGGTACAAATCTGTTTCGATTTATTAAATCTTTTTGAAAACGAAATGCCTTACCTTCTACTCAGTGTGCTTATTTACCATTGATAGATTAAGAAAATAATAAAAAATAGAACACATTTCTTTTACAACAAAAGACCAGAATATAAGTTTTTCCCTTAGAAGGTCAACTTAATTTTCAAAAAGGTCTTAAGAAAAATACTGCCAATGTTTTATTTAAATTTTATAAAAAGATGAATACTTCGGGCTGGCCGAATGGTGCGTTGTTTAAGAGCTGGCTTGGGACGCCAGAGGACCCCGGTTCGGATCCCACATGAGGGCCCGTGACACTGCCCTCTACAACTAAGATGCTGAACAACAGCTCAACCTGGAGCTGGGCTGCCATGAGTTGCCTGAGACGGCGTAGGCTGCAGTCCCTGCTGCAGTGGGTTGCCATGGGCTACCGTGTGTAGCCAGCAGCCAGCGTGAGCGGCCAGCAGCTGCAGTGAGCAGCCGTTCAGAAGCCGGTGACTGATCTGCCTCACCCGGGAAGAGCGCAATGATGGTGCCAACTTGGGCCAGTGAAGCGACGTCCTCCACAACTAAACTGAAGAACAAAAGGACAGCAACTTGTCTGTTCCCCTCCCCCCAATTCCCCAATAAAAAAAATGTTTAAAAAAAAAAAAAAAAGATGAACACTTCATTATTGTTTTCCCTATCTTCAAAATTTTCTACAATGAATTGCTTTGAGAAAGTTTCTTTTTAAGGCTCTAAGAAATTTTTTTTAAGTCCCTACAATTCAATCCTATGCCTCATTTCAGAAGTTAACTGTTGAGTTGTATTTGGGTATAAAGAAAAGACAAATATGAAGAGTAAAGGTAACAACATGAACATTAAATGGCTAATGTTCATAACCAGTTATGACTCAATAACTAAATTCCATAAGACAGTTTGCATTGAATGAATAAAATAGCACTATGAGTACCTCTGGGAAAATCTATTTCAATATCCAAATCTGGTTCATATGGTACATCAGGCATGCTGGACTGTGTCTCTGGGTCAGAGTTCTTCAAGAGATCTGAACCAATTATGTCTGTTTCAATAATTACACCTGTAAGCAATCAATACTAGCATTAGAAATCAAAATAGAAAACCTCAACAGTACCTCTATCTGGCAAAAGGAAGTCACTTAATTGTAAATGCAAAACAAGAATAAATACTTATATTAATATGTCACAAAAGGAAAAGGTATTTAGCTATCTTGAAATATAAACTACTATAAACTTTATAATTATTAGATAATCATGAATACATGAGAACTTTTAATCCTGTTTTTAACTGCCTCTCTTCAAAAGTTATAATAGGTGTGCTTTGATAGTAAAATTACTCTAATATTAGAGTATTTCTAAAAGCAATGTCTTGTCAAAAGTAAAGTAATGAGGGTGAATAACTGCAATTTTCAATGTTCTTTTTGACTTGTGACCTTGGTTTTCCACATGATTCAATAAATGCTTATTTACAACTGCCTTCTAACATTTTGATCAGTTGCTTTCAAACATTTTTGTATTGCAACCCTCACTAAGAAATGCATTTTCTCCAGTTCAGGGTGGTGGGAGACAGACAAGCATAGATGCGTGCACACACACACACACACACACACACACACACACACACACACACTGGGAACAAAGGTTTCACAAATCGTACTTTTTCTATAAGGGATTCATGCAGGCATTTTTTCCTCACTTCACTAAAAAAAAAAAAAACACAAAATAAAAAACCACCAGTTTCAACTCACTGAACTAATCCTACAACTCCCCAACAAAGGCTTCAGCAACATAATCACATTATGAAATACACAGAATTTGAAGTGTTTCTATTGTACTGTAGGGTAAACGGAATTAGGGAGCTCATAGTTGAAACAGAACTCTGGGTGTCACCAGAGGACTAAGGACAGGAATAAATATTCTGAGACAGAATCATCCACAACACACTCAAAATGTTATACCATTTGGCAAACACTGCCCTAACAGAAGTTAGGATAAACCCAGGTTTAGATCATGCAAATGAATTATCAGTATAATTAATAAAACAAAATTGGGGAGAATCATTACAAAATAAGAGTTTGTAGTATTATAATTTAAGCCTACTACAAGTTAGTTATGTATCTGAGCTAGTCCATTAAAACATGAACAATTTTGAGTTGATTTCACAAGTCAAATCCTATTACATGAAAACAGGGACTGTACAAATTCCTGTGGTATAAGGGAGCACCGGGCTAGATATAGCGTGGGCCTCTTAATGTGAAATAGCTTTTTTTTATTCAGTGCTTCCTCCTCTGCTATATTAAGCTCAAGCACAATGACATGTCCTGGAACATGCTATAACGACGACACACTTTATTCACACAGTGCAATATAGTGCAGCTCACTGTTGATGTTGGCAGCTTCTGCTTTCCCCTCGTCCTCAGTCATCATGTCTGTCATTGTAAGCAAGTCGGTATGAAGAGGGTCTGAAGCATCTTTGCTTTTTAGCTCCTCAGCTGCTGCTGGGCTCTTGTCGCTGCTGTCCAATGGGGCCGGCAGAAAAACAGGGACTGGCACCTAATTAACCAAAGTATTTATTGTTAGGTTTGTTCAACATTAAAAGGTTATGTTTTCAAAGTAATAATTACTCTGACATGTGATCTCCTTTATAATTCCATATTGGATAAAAACTTGGAAAGAACACACATCAAAACTAAGATGTCAATTGTGACAGAGAAAGTCCAGGATACAAGCAGTTACTTTTGAAATAAAACAAAAATAACTGGAGGTATTTCTGTCCCCCAAGCGACTACAATAGCCAAACCCTGACAGAGTCCCAAGTACATACTATAAATGAAATAACAGTATGTATGAAACTCTATTCCATGTTTCAGTTCTAAACCATACAGCCTCACAAATCTTTCTTTCCAAAATGAACTCAAATAAGACAATGTGTGTCAAGCAGACCCAGACATCTGCTGAACTTCAGTGTCAAGGATGAACACGTCCCTGATTAAACACAAAGCCGACAGAATCAACCAAACCTAAGGTGGCCGCTAAAGAAAGGCACACAACCCTGCTCACTGGCTTCCCGGGGCTGCCCCACCCGCGCCCGGTAAGCCTCACGGTGGAGGACAACGTGGAGTCTGACTCACAGGAACAGGAACTGTGGCAGGGACAGGAACATTCTGGCTGTACATGTGCATAGGCACCGGGACGTACACAGGCACAGGGATAGGCACTGGGACATACTCTGTCTTCCAACTGTCATCTGCAGACAGAACGTAGGTAAGGAGCACGGCAACTAGCACTCATATATAGCAGGCGCTCAGTGTTAAAATCACGTTAACAAAGAAAACGTGCCTCGGTACCCATTTACAATAAATTCCCAGTTTTCACACAATTAGGTAACTTCAGAACAACAAAACTGAGTGAAGGAGCTATTCTAACTTATAGAGAGCACACATAGAATTTAGGCCTTTTTTTAATAGAAAGAAAACATCCTTTAACAACATTATAAAGCTCCTCACCCCCCCCCCAGATTCCAATCACACCCCCCCACAAAAAGGTTTATGTAATCAAACAATAAGAATACAGCTAAAATTGAAATTTGATGAAAATACATATTTGAATTATTTCATCTCATTCTGACAAGGAAACAGAATTGCTAATATTACAGACCACAGTTACAGAGATGATTTTCTCAGAGGGAACACTGGAACTTCAGTAGGTCTTAGCCCCAGGAAAATGCTACAGCGTTATTTCACTTGGGACATTAATTTGTATTCTAGGCCTTCATCAGAGATTGATTTTCATTAGTGATTTTAAATGCTGTGTTTTCAAGGTAATGTCTAAAATTAGATAAGCAAAATCAACAAAAAAATGACAAAGTGACCAACAAATCTATTCTGTAACTTAGTAATTGAAAAAACATAACATTTCAATAAATGAGGTATAAGTATAGGGAAATATACAAGTCAAATTCCCCAAAGTTACCTGTCTGACAAGATTTGGTCTGCATGTGAGGTTTACAGTAAGTAGCTTTTGTCATTGTTAAAGGTTTGCAAAGAACTGCTTTGTTCTTCATCTCTTTGTTAGGTGTTGGAGAAGGGGGTGGTGCTGAACCCTATAGAGAGGCAAAGAGAAACATTTTATTTTTACCTCCAATTTGTATTACTTCCTGGTGGTAATGAATTATCTGGTTTCTAGGGCCTGTGGAGGGAACACACAAAAGTAAAAGAGTATAACCAAACTATGCTGTTATTATGTTTACCATAGTCTTAATCTGGAAGGATCAGAATCAGGATAAAACGAATCTATCCTATTGGCAAAGCAGTAGTAACTGGTCATTCTACAGATCTATGTTACCTTCAAAGGATACCATCAGCATATCTTTTAAAAAAATATAAGTCAATTCTCACTGTTAAGTACAAAAGCAAGGTTGTGAACCTGAATTTTGAAAATAGTTAGGCTCTTTTAAGTTTATTGAGAAAGAAAAAAGTTCTTGCAGTTATTATGGCTATCTGATACTCTAGCTCCCTCTATTGGATAAACAGCTTATATATGTTACTAAATTTGAAAAGAAAAATGATGAAAAAAATTACCAACAATATCACCAAACTTTAAGTTGGGTATTTCCTGTGCCCCAGCAATTGCAATTTTAGAAACTTATCTTAGAGATACAGTCTCACAGATGTTTTCACCATGTTCACTGTAGCATTATTTGCAATTGGAAACACACACACACACACACACACACACACACACACACACACACACACACACACTCATGCACGCAGCTAAAGATCTGTCCCTTAAAGGACTAGCGACAAGGTGCTCTCCATACCACCTACTAATATGGGCAAAAGGTACAGAATACTAACACACTCAATTCTTATTAGTCGGGTAGTTAAGTTCTAGACAGACACCGTGAATATGGAACCATTGCTCTAGAAGGAAATACAGGGATAGGTTCCTGTAAGCCTCTGCTCACATTTTCATCAAGAGATCAATACATAACCTTGTTGCTGTTGAAACACACTTTATTTAATACGTGTATTTCCTACAAATAATTATATGCAGTATTTCCTTTTCATACAATAGTATGATCACAGCATTTATGTGTAATGTACTCTTCCACTCAGACGTGTACACACACGCACACACATACTCAGTACTGGGAACACATACTGTACACTGTATAGCAATGCAAATCAAGTCCTGAAAACACACAGATCAAGCAGTTAAAGTTTTATAAGAACACTAACGTCTTACTGTTGGTGGAGCTGCAGGATGTACGACGGGGCAGTGCACGTGTGGTTGCACCTCTCAACCTTGGCACGCCCCACGAAAACCAAGGGAGAGGCTGATGGAGCTTATTCTGCAGAAGAGGAAGACATCGATGAGGGTGGCATGGTGACATCTGCAGTTCTACCTCAGGAGTTTTGGCTCTTGCAACTTGCTGACACTGTCAGCAATTTTCCCTCCCAAACTGGCTTCAAAAATTAATCAGCCTTGTTGGCTTGGCTTTTCACCTCAAATCTTTTCGCATCAAATCTTGATGTAAGGTGCAAACACAGTAGTGCTTCAGTGTGAGGCTCTGCTCAGACTCAGGGCCACATTCTTCCATGTCACTGACAACTTTTCCCAAGGCAGAATTCCATCGTGTTATTTGGGCTGCTGTTAGAGGGACGGCACTTGGGAGTCTTCGGCTGACTTTCATCACTGAACCTGATGCCTTGTTAGGCCATCTGTCCAGGTCTCCATTAGAGGGCTCGACTTGCCTTCTCTGCCACAGTTTCCTCCACATCTTCCTTCTTCCTTCACATCCCCAGGGCCTTCTCCACTTATCTGTGTATAGTAGGCGTTATGTTTTCTTTTCTGTAACACCTTCAAAGACTTTGAAATTTTTCATGCAGTCTGGTCAAACATTTCCCAACAGTTATTCACAGGAGCCTGCTTGACGCTGCCCTGGGCTGACTCAACATAACCAATAATGTTACAATAGTGACTGACTTCTAAGAGTCCATCATGGTGTTTCCTTGGTGTGGAGAGCCTTGCAAGCTCTCATGAAGTGGGCCTTGAAAGCTTTCATTATGCCCTGATCAAACAGTTGGATGAGAGACACAGTGTTTGGGGGCATAAAAAGGACTACATTCAGATGGGCATATTTGAGTTCTTCACAGCAATAGATATTCAGGTTTTCAGTCTAAAGATGGTGTTCAACTTCTAGGATAAAGCAGTTGTGGAACCAATCCCAGACACCCAGACAATATTTCAGACACCATTCATGCTTTTTTTTGTCCCACCTTTAAATGCTCATGGATTGAGGACTCTGTACACCATGAGGGGTTTGGACTTAAAATTACCCTTGGCAATGGCACGCAATAGCATGGTTTCAGGGTCTCTGAACAGTTTAAAGTCAGAGGTTTGGAGACCACTGAATTGTATAGGTTCATTTGCCAACAACCTTGTATAAACAAGCTAGTCTCATCAGCGTAGAAAACCTCCTTGTCCATATAACAACCCTTTTCCTCCATAACACATACTAGGTATTGTCCCACAGAACCCACCTCTCCCACAAGTTTTAACATTTTCACACCACAGAGCCCTAAAATGTGTGAGCCAGGCAGCACTGAGCAGTCCGGATGTAATATCTTCCTGACCTGGGGTAACACATTCTGAGCTAAAGTCTCACAATGATGCTATTCGCTATGCTTTTTAAATCAGGCATAAGTTCATGAACCCACAAACTTAGTCACTGTTCCATCTCTTCCATTGCTTCACCACACACTGTAGATTTGACTTTAACACTTAGAGGTGCTTCCTTTACAGGTTGGTGAATTTCTTATTCCTTTTGTATCTTATTGTTGATTCATGAACACTGAACTCACAGCCAGATGAACAGGCATTTCCTCCATAAGGCATATCACAGCCTTCTTGTGCTTAGGTCAATAGACAGCACTTAAGTACTACACTTGGGGGTTATTTCAAACAGCAAAATCACAAACAAAATGTGCAAAAACATGAAAAACATGACACTAATTAGACTGTGAAAAGGACACTGGCTTCCGGTAGCATGAGTGAGGTAAAGCTTCGCTACAGGCAGGTAGGCGACGCCCATGTTTACCACTCTCACAGGTCTTGCAAGTGACCTTAAAAGTGCCATGGGCATTGTGTAGGGTTACAAATACACTTTAGAGAGTAGACACATTCACAGATCTGAATAATGAGGATCAACTGTACTTAAATAAAGCACTTATTGTTTAAAAAGTTTATTTGCATATATTTAAAGGTCTGGAAAGGTATAAATGAAAAAAACTTTATGGGGGGTATCTCACAAGTTACAAATAATACATATGGCTTACTCTAGATTCATCAGGAATTCAAACCACTAATCAATCAGCTATAAGACAGAGTAGTGAACAAGGGCTTGGGGAACTTGGTCTAACACTACTACTGGGTAACAAAGACACGTCACTCAATCTCTTATGCCGCAACTTCCTCAACTATAAAATGGGAATAATAATTTAGTAATCAGTTATTGAGCATATACTACATACCAAGCACTGGGTAAGTTGGGTCTAGAATCCCCACTTAAGAACAAGGGGTCCAGGGCCGGCCGAGTGGCGTGTTGGTTAGGAGCTGGCTTGGGACACCAGAGGGCCCCGGTTCGGATCCCACATATGAGGGCCAGTGACACTGCCTCTACAGCTAAGATGCTGAACAACAGTTCAATCTGGAGCTGGGCTGCCATGAGGCGACGGCATAGGCTGCAGCCCCTGCTGCAGTGAGTTGCCATGGGCTACCGTGTGTAGCCAGCAGCCAGCGTGAGCAGCCAGCAGCCACCGTGAGCGGCCGTCCAGAAGCCGGCAACTGATCTGTCTCACCCGGGAAGAGCGCAATGATGGTGCCAACTTGGGCCAGTGAGGCAACGTCCTCCACAACTAGCCTGAAGAACAAAACAACAGCAACTTGTCTGTTCCCCTTCCCCCAATTCCCCAGCGCTGTTCCCATCCCCCAAACCCCCAATAAAAATCTTTAATAAAAAAAAAGAACAAGGGGTCCAAAATCATAGATGTCCTAGATATATCAATGTTTCTCCTCCCATCATTCTGCAAATATTATCATCATGTCAAGTAAACTATGCAACCTGGTGAAAGCCTATACTTAATGATGCTTCTTACTCTCCTGCTAGTCTACAGGCAGATCTATACCTATTTATAATGAATATTGAAGAAGGACCCATAACGAAAATCATAATAACAAAAGCCACCATCTGTTGAGTATTTGCTATACGCCAGGGACTATGTGCTCTAGACAATGTTTGTGTCCCCCTAAAATTCATGTTAAAATCTAATCCCTAATATGATGGTACTTGAAAGTGTAGCCTTTAGGTGGTAATTAGGTCATGAGAGCAGAGCCCTCATGAATGGGATTAATGCCTTTATGAAAGAGGCCCCAGAGAGATCATTCACCCCTTCCACCATGAGGGGAAAGCAGAAAGATGGCCACCTATGAATCAGGAAGTAGGCCCTCGCCAGACGCTGTATCTGCTGGCATCTGGAACAGTGAGAATTAATTTCTGCTGTTTGTGAGCCATCTTGTCTATGGCATTCTGTTACAGCAGCTCAAATGGACAAAACACCAGATAAAGCACCAAAGTTACATAATTCCTGAAATGAGTAATTCTCCTAACACCATAAGAGCTTGTCTCTTTTTTTAGCACTCCCATTTTACAGATGAGAAAACTGGGGCTCCAAAGTTACACATCCTGGTAAGGTGACAGAGCTAAAAGTTCTGAAGCCAGGATTCAAGTAGATTCATCTGATGCCAAAGCCCATGTTCTTAATTATACTAGACATGCTGCCTCTGTGATGTCTGGAGCATAACAGCCACCATGTGCTTAGTGCTTACTATGTGATACCCCCCAAAGCTGGTATGCTCTTCATCCCCATTTTACAAATAAGGAAATTCACACAAAGAACAGTGAAGTGACCTGCCCAAAACCACATAGCTAAGCTCTCATCCTTTGAAGTTTATGGGTGGGGAATTAAAAGATTCCAAAAGCTTAAAAGGCAAGATGGGAGAGGACTTTACAAGACAAAAGGTGGCACACTGACTTATCCTCCCCTGATAGTAATGCTCCTCTGTCTGTCACATACTGGGGCTCAAGAGCTGGGAGAGGAGAAAAGCATTTAATACTGTGCTGGTAGAAGGGGTTCCTGAAGCCTCGGTCAAAAGCTTATATCCTGAAATAAGGTTGGGGAGAGGCCTGCTGGCTGCACAAAGAACAAAACAGGGAGTGATCATCTTTATGTTCCTGGGGGTAAGTCAAAGTGCCTTGTATTAAAATCAGATGATTTGGTTGAATACTTTTATGTACTTCTGAATTATCTGGCTTAAAAGTATATCTCCATAGGGAGGAAAGTAAAGGAACAGCACTCTTACTTTGCTATAATTCTGTCAACTATTAAAATCAAAAACAAAAACTGAATGGAATAATATAAAAACACCAATGTTTTCATATCAGTATCAGTGATCAATACCAGTGATCCTGAGCTGTGGTTACATATCAAAATCATCTGAAGAATTTTTTAAAACTACAGAATCTCTGGGGTGCAGGCATCGGAAGGCTTTCTAGCCAGAGTGATTCAGTCTTTCTTACCAGGACAAGAACTAGCCCAGACACTTATCGTGATGCCAAAAAATGACTCCTGTATACCTGCCCTTGGAAAGGATGCCAGAGAGCGCCTTATTCTAGCACTGGTGACTGCTGTTTGACTCAGCACACAGAGGGCAAACCTGCTGCTCTTCAATGTGACAAAACACTGCTTCTTCCCTTCACTTATTACACATAAATAGCCACTGTCGACCTACAAAAGTCTTAGGATTTTAGAACATAAAAAGGAGAATTTGATTTACAACAAAAGACTGGGGGAGGAAAAAAAAACCTTGAGGGACACATTATGGAAATATTTCTCAAATTTAAAAACTCGCAGGTCCGAGCCCCCAACATAGATCCTCAAACCCTTATTTCAGAAATAAATGCACAAAGCCTTCAATAATCTGGCCCAGCCCACCTGTTCACCCTCAATTCCCATGATTCCACCACAGGTGCCCTTTCAACTTGGCCCGAATAGTTTTGCCAAATACGCATGCCCTGTGCACATTACTATTCCTCTGACTTTCCATCCCTGTCTATCTGGCAACCTTCTACTCAACTGTTTAGAAGCTTTTTCACAACTGCCAGGAACAGACACAGTCAATCATTTCAAACATTCTATGGCTACTGTCTTAAAAACGAATCTATTACAGGTGCTTCAACACAAATACCATTTATATATCTATCTTCCACAATGTGGGTAGAGGCCATAATTAATTCACCTTTATATTCTTTTGCATGTATGAAAGGACCTGCTTTAATATCAGGTAATTCAGCTGAATACTTCAACTGTCTCAACAGAGGAAAAAAATCTTTTATCATTATGATCAGATTAAATTAGACCAATTATTTTTTTATTCCCACATTATAAAAATCAATATTTAGCTCTCCACTTAAGCAATACTTACTGTCATTTTGGTTCGGGACGTCTGACAACCCTGATCTAAAAACATAAACAAATTTAAAATGAGACAAATGTCACACACTTCAGAATTTTCTAAATCTGTATTTCTCATTAAATTTTATTGACATTTTAAAATAATTACTAAAGAAAATATTTTAAGCTATTTTAAGTAAAGAATATCAAATTTGAGAGCTGAAATACAAAGCTAAACAAATGGAATTAACTCATTTTGTTCCCTCAGAAAGCACACATTGCTTTGAGGGTAATTCTATGTTCTTAGATTTAACTCTTCAATAAGTCACACCTTCAAAAAGATTTTTGATGTTCCTCCCAACCTACCCCAGGCAAATATAATTTGCTAAAAATAGCTTTTGTTTAAAATTTCAGATGACACAATAGGTAAGTGCATTTTTTTAAAATTTTTGTTATAATTCTGTTTAGCTTTTCTCCACCCCCAACTAGACTCTATTTCTGCAATTAGTATTAAATTTTTAAAACAAAATAGAGGGCAATACACCTATAGAAACTTTACACAGGGCACTTCCACCCAGAGAAACTATGGAAGTTGCTGTTAAACTCCAAAATCAACTGTTCATTATCATTACTTTGAATTCTGATCTAAGAAACTAAAGACTGCTGTACAAGTTTGGCAAGTTGCTACCTACATTGTGACATACCATAATGCAAGTTTTCAGGTCCTTTCTGAGTCGTCATGTTGGGCTCATTCTGCTGGCAGTAGAAGCGCAATAAGCAGTGCTGGTCACAGAAATGTTTCATTTCCCCACGCCACTGCACACGCTCTTTAAGAGTTCCTTGAGATTTACAACAGTCACACCTTGCAGCCTTAATAAAAAAAGGAAGGTCCCAGACATTTCAAATGACAAGGTTTAAAAAGTCAGATATGTATTTATAAAGATTTCTAAAATTTTGTCAGTGATTATTGCTAAATGTGATAAAACAATGTCTGATAAAGAAAAAATATTATAATATAAATCATAAACACACAGTAAAAGTGGGGAAAGAAATGTAGCCATTTCCTAATTGTCAAAATCCCTTTCTATACTTACCAGAAGTTAAAGACCAGCATTATAAAGATATGATAAGCAAAGAGAGTGAACACTGATAAACCAAATTGGTACAATATATTTTAATATTTTAAAATAATTTTGAGGGCTTTAATGATATACTAGTAGAAGTCTCCTACAAATTACACTGAAATCTGTGATTAATGAATAGATTTCCCAGGTTCAAGTGACAGCTCATAATAAATCAATTTATAGAAGTTGTAGCAGACCATTTTGAAGCAAGCTCTTATGAGAAAATCATGAAAATCATGAATGTTAACTTACAGTATTTTTCTTTCTCAACAGTTTAATATAATAAATTTGAAGAGCTTTAATAAATACAGATTTAATTTTAATTAACAAGAACTTCATATTTTAAAGCACTCAATATTTAATTTAGAAACAATTATATTTTAAGACAACAAATTTGACCTACATATAAGAAAATAGCCCTAACTGGTCTATAATTTTATATGCAAAATAAAACCAATTAAAATTCATACATAAAAAGTTCTACTTTATGATGGTGAATTAATAATCTAGGAACAGATTTTTATTTTTCAGAGATGCCATTTTCCCTAGATTGTGCCCATTTTCACTTTTTCTTAACAGCTTGATCAATGAGTGGACTAAAAGATAAAAATGATTAATTTCAAATAGTTCTTTTCATAATTAAGAACTTTCTTAATTTCTGATCAAGTTAGAGTAGAAATAAATTACTATAGCTTTTTAGATTACCCTTTGGTTTAATTTACTTAGAAGTTTGATAAGCAATAAAAATTAAGTATTTTGTAGTTCATAATAATGGCTATAGCTTTTCCTCACTACTGTAAATTATCTAAAGTTTTACACTGTGCATTTTGAATTTCTCACTTTATGTCTCCACAGGAGTTCTATGAATAAATACTATGTCAAAATTCTGAGTTAGGAATATAACAAATGATTGTGTTGGTAAACAGGTCTTATATAACAAACATACCCCAAGGTTAGAACACAGGCTCTTTTTTGTCTCCAGGTCAGGTATGTCTCCTGCTGAATAAATGTTAAATGAATGAAGATTTGTAATATAAATTATGACTATTAAGTGATGACTATCATATTGCTTGTCCAAAAATTTGTGAGCTCCAGTTTCATGTTGCTGGTAATATTATGTGGTAATCTCAAGATCATTAGCACTTTTTATCGACCAGGTCAGACTTCACTCAATAGTGAAAAAAGTCCCGATGTAACAGTCTCACCAGCCAAAGACTGTTTTTTAAAATAACCATTAAAGTGTTCCAGGTTTCATTCCCACCCCTTTATATATTTTATACTCAAAAAAAAGACAAGGGACGGTCGGCCGAGTGGCCCAGTTGGTTAAGAGCTCGCTCAAGAGTGTGAGCTCTGAGCAACAGGGTCACCAGTTCGATTCCTGGCCCAAGCTGAGCTGCCGCTGCACTGCCAGGCTCAACTAAAAAAAAAAAAAAAAAAAAGACGAAGGAATTGAAAGTTTAACATTCTACGTGTTGAGTCTAAATAGTGCAAAAACATGGCAAGGGTGAAGTTGGAGCCAACTACCTCACATTCATTGAGAAACTGAAAAATAAAAGTCCAGCATGTTTTAGCTATTCTTCTCTCTATAATCCTCAGAATAATACTGGAAACTAACTTCCAGCTAGGTGAACTGACTTGTCTAAGGTCAAATATCAAAAATGCAGGATTCAGAGTAGACAATCCAAGTCAAAACCTGGGCTTTATTTAGTACACCAAGTAATAAAGACAAGGGAAAGACAAAATGAGTTAATATGAATAACCAGAGAATCAAGATCCTAATAGAAGTAAAATGCTCCAAGAAGGTTCCCAATGTAACATCTAAAACCCAAATCAATTTGTATAAAACTTATTCAAATCACTCCATGCACTATGCTGACCTAGGATATAGTAATAGTGCCATTGAGAAGGCCATGGGCATAAAACCAAGTATTCCCCCAAAGAATCTGAACAAAGAAATCACTTCATTATTTTGTTGATTATATTGAATTTTGTAGTAACAATACTTGAAGTTCCTTTCTTCCAGGAGGCTCAAAACAAATTTAGATGCTCTCTCTCTCTATCCAAAGAAAAAGGAGCAAGATTAATGCAAATTTGCAAATGGAAACAAAATATGTCTATATTTTTCAGAATGAAAGAATAATAACAGAACTCAGTACTTCAAAGTTTAATGCCATAATCAAAATTTTTAAGATTGTGAATCTCTTTGTGTTTATGTTTGTTTGTTTGTTTGTTTGTTTTACAGCCACTCACACAAACTCCCGGTAAAGTGCTTGGAATTAAGCTACTGGGTTGTCAGAAAAGTCATGACGTATTGTTTCTATGTTTTTCGTTGCAAAAATGCATCATGACTTTTCCGACAACCTAATACAAACAAGATGGCTAATTTGCAAACATCATTAATGGCCATCATTCCTTACCAACATGGACACCAAAACCACTCCCTTCCAACCACAAGGGAGCTTTTAGGAAAGCTTGACACTTCTATAGCTCAAAAACTGAAGTGTGGCTTAAGTCTCTGCTGTAAAAACACTATACCATCATCTATCTACTTAGTGGTTTTCCTGTCACTGTGGAAAATCAAGGATTATATGTTGTGGGGGAAAAAAACAGTCACTGATTCAAACAATCTGAATAACAGGCAGGTACCAAATTCTTAATTCAAATACCTTAATCCAACCTCTCGACTAATAGAGGAATCTCTTCCTCAATAACCGACAAAATTCCTCCAGCCTATATTGACCAATACCTTACATTTATTGGACAGCTTCAATTTCTCATTTTTGGTTGATATATATATATATATACATCCTTGTAACTTTCCCATCCACTTGTTCCTCATTACACCAATTGAACCTAATTTTGCAGGGGGGACGGGTAGGGAGGCGGGGGTAGACCATGAACATAAATGAAATAGGGGATTTCACAGTCATTTTAAAAAGGAATTCTTTATGACTCCCCAATATATATTTCTGAGTACAACAGAGTAATTCATTTTTTTAAAACCATAGTGATAAAAGAGTAGGTGACTGGATACTATGCAAAGCATTAAATGATAGGAATTATTCAGTTACCCAAAAAGTATAATATTAAAGCAAGAATATTAGATAATCCCGTTCTAAAATTAATTTCAAAAACAATAGTTTTTTTTGAAAAAAAATCAACATTTCTAGCAGTTTACATACAAAAAAAGAAAAAATTTAAAAGCCCAATTATATTTTCATCCAGTTATCTTTTTATAACTAAGATTTACTAAAACATTAATTAACTTCATTAAAGCACATAAATTCATACTGTTAGACTATTATAGGACCTTTGCATTAAAGAATTTAATATTGCCACTATTCACTACTAGTTTGTAAAACAAAGCAAAATTCTGTGTTAAAAAATTGTCATTTGAAGTAATCAAGTTTAAGAAAACCTTATTAGTTCTCTTAAGAAGTACTGTGTAGTATTCTTTGAACAGTGGGCCTTTTGAATTATCTTCACTATATATCAAACACCTAGTTACCTATTAATCAATTACAATATTAAATCCCATTTCTCCAAAACTTACAGAGATCAAAAGAACTATCCTCCCACCTGGTTTCATATTATGCCTGGAAACATTTACTTTGAGAAAAAGTAAAATCTACTTCCTTCTAAAGAGTAATCTGGGAGAAGAAAGAAACATTAATTTTATTCTCAGCATTTTTTGGTTACATGATTCAACAGATTTTGTATTCCAATTTAGAAAAGACAATATTTAATAAACCACTATTTTAATCCCCAAAGCAAACCATTATAAAGACCAGAAAACAAGGATCATTCAAAATGTCTTGTTAGTAAAAGACACATTAGCAGAAGTTTTAAAAGTATAATATTAAATATTTAAATTAAAATAAATAAAAATGTAAAGTTATCTATACTCTAGGTAGTCTGTCAGACTAAAGCACAAAGGTAAGAGAAGGTGAAAATACAGCGTGTGTGTTCCTCTGTTTAGGCAGCAAATGCTCAGGACTAAAGGTGAGCTCACCACTGGAGTGGCTACTTGCTGATTTCAAAGATTCCTTGATAAGGCACTTTTGGGGGGTATTATTTTTCTAATAAAAGTTGGATTGACTAGTAAGTGTCACATTTGTTAATGGACTAAGATCTAAATTTTTGAGTTCTTAAATTAAAAAAGTAGAAGGGGAAAGAAGGTTAAAAAAAAAATCATAATTTGTCTGGAACTCAACCACATTTTCAAGATGATAGGGTGGTAGCGGTGCATAGAAGAGGCTCAGGAGAGGTATAAGGAAACAGTGTGACTCTCGAAGCACACAGTTACTGGACTGGCCTCCAGACAGGCCAACCAGGGGGCAGGAGGGGCAACTCCCTTCCTCATTTCCAACACAGCGTTCCTACTACCTGTATACAAAAATAATCATTGTTACTTGCTTTACAAATTGCTCTTACCTTTATTCCTCAGACTAGTACAGCATGCAGTTAATGCTATTGTGTATATTGTACGAAAATTTGTTGGGCTTATAATAAGATAAGGAATAATCATAAAAATGTGTTTAATGTATAAAATAGTGACATTAAACATAACCATATATTATAACTGGTTATTTAAGTAACATAACCTTATATATGCATTCTGAAATGCATGTACTACACCTCACTGAAATTTCATCATTGAATATTACATAAAAACATTAGATACAATTATCCTTTAAAATAAATAGCAAAATGGAACAAATGCCAACAAATAGTGTGGTCTTTTGTCAAAGAATACTTCTTTTCTTCCCAAAAAAGAAAAGAAACCAAAAGATTTCTCTTTTTGAATTGTAAGTAATACAAAAGAAAACAGGAACAATTCATTCAAAGAGCCAAACAGAAAAACACATTCAAGTGTGCTGTGAACAAAAACCAAAATCCTTCAAAACAGATTATTTTAAAAAATTAAAGTTTTGGATTCAAAATTACATAATTAAGCAGAAATTTGTATATTAAAAGGACAGGCAAATCATCGTCATCACATTGTAATACTTCTGTCTCAAACAATAACATAAATGAAAAGGGTAACAGTAAGAATAAAATGGGATGTCCACATTGTAACCTACTAAATACCTTTACTGTTTGAGATTATCCAAAACAAATTTTCTAAAATAAAACCTTCTAAACAGTGGAGAAAAAGGTATATTTCTGTGTGCTAAACTAAAATTGAACATTTAAAGCCATTAAAACAACATTTTTTCTGAGTGATTTCTCAAAATTGATACTGTCTATAACAGAACCAGACACTGGTTTAGATTAAAAGGGATACATGTAAGAGGGTGTTAGTATGCTTGTCAAGTGTTTCTGAAATTTGAACCTTAATTCTAAGGCTTAAATTACTCACAAGCAACAGTAAAATAATGAAGTAACTTAAAAAGTGCACCAAAACTCTTAGCTTTGACAAGCTCTGACAACTTGGAAAGTATCCTCCCTCTTTTTATTTAAAAAATGTTAGGTCATATTTTGAGCTGTAGATATTCAAGAACTTCACAAAGAATTCCTGCAAGTCTCCTCAGTAATGTCATTTTAACACTAGTCACTTTCATTAAGTGAACTAAATAATATTCTATTTCAACCATTCCATGCTTGTTTCGTTAGCTGTATTTCACAGTTCTGAAGTTAGGATGATGTCTGTCTTCTCATGCTTTAATGGCACTGCATCCATAATGAAGCTTTTGCATGGAGATGGATTTCCATATTACAGACAAACAACTAATAACTTTTTCTTCAGTAATATCTAACAAAAGCCCAAATTTACACTCATTTTCTGATCTAGAAAGAAACCAATGCAATGGACCAAAGGGCTTAACTTTTTTACATATAGATTTTAATCACACACACACACACACACACACACACACACGTGCACGTACACATACAAACTGTTTCAAATTAAATGTTTTTGGTCTTTATTGATCCATATATAGTGTCCTTTCAATTTGAAATTCTCTAAAGACCCACAATTAAAAAGGCAAAAAAAAAAAACAAAGTAGCTTTAAAGCACACCCTAAGTATCCAAAATAACCTGCAAATGTCCAACACTGATTAAGTAATCATCAAAAATATTTCTATTTAGTGAAATAAAGACACATAAATTTTAGAGAAATAATCCACTCTGTTAAGCTACACTGCTGAAAATACAGGTATATCCTAGTTTGGGATTATACCTAAGTTATAAAACAAGTAAAAATGCTATTGCAGGTTATAAAGAAAAAACTGAAATGACAAAAATTTTAATGAATTACATAATCTGGGCTAGGCCTAATGTGTGTACATTTTTTTAATAAATAAGCTACCATATTTGTAATGGTTTTTTAAAGACTGGTTAAAGTAGTTACTGTAATAAAACTGAGTTACTTGCCTTGTAGTACCAGTCCTGAAACTTTTTACAGCAGTCTTCACTACAGAAGTCCCTCACAACGCCATCCAGTTCTTTCGTTGCTCCCTTCTTACACAGTTGAGAGCAATAGTTGCAAGTAACACACCGCAAGCCTAAACGTCTTGCAAAGTCCTGTTTGTACAATAGTTTGCAGCCTGCAAAATATAAAGTTTTAATATTGAGACAAAAAGAAAACATGTCAAAAGCTCATTTTTGAGATGAGAGAGAACTTATGGCTAAAATATAGATCATGAGCTTTACAAAGTGTCTATAAATTCACACATAAAGTTCTCTTCCTCTCCTGATCAAAACTGATCAGCACCAACCTATAAAAACTCGAACAGGACATAGAATATTATATTAGATACCATGTCGGTTCAAATTATTAATGTTCTAAGACATTCAAACCTAGTAATGTCTCAGAACTATTTTATTTGCTTTATTTAAATATAACCTTGCTTAAGTTATCATAAACACACCACAAATAGGCACTTTAGTAAATGAAATAGTGTAGACCATTGAAAAGCAATGAGTAAACTTAAGAGATCTATTCAGTTAAGTGCGCATTTTAGCTAAATTTTCTAGCCTTTTTGTCTGTCACCCTACATGGACCTTCAGGGAAGTAAAACTGGTCTACCGAATTGTTATTCTATTCCTTTAGTAAAATATTTCTTTTACCTACTATGTAAGTGTATTATTTTAAGTGTTTTTACATATCAACCTTATTTATTCCCTATAATAGCTCTGTGAGGATTAAATAATCATACTTTCACTTACTCCTATCTACTGAAACCCTACCCACTCTTTCATAAGGAGCCTCCCCCTTTCAAGTTACACCTCCCCCACAGGATGCCCTCTTCAACCTAGTTTACAATGGTCTGTCCCATCTGTGAACCGAACTGCAACTGTTGTATATATAATTTCTCTGGCAAATAATTATTTTTATGTAATTTATTTGGCATTTAATCTATGACTTGATACCTGGAACCATATTTAAAAATACTTTTAGTATTTTACCATTATTAGCTTTATTTTTCTAACTAGATTTTGATGGTAGTACCAGGTATTATTATGTTTTGTTATTTCTGACAGGTTCCAGCAGAGAACTAGGTGATTAGAGAAAGCACAAAATATATTATTAAACAAAAAAAGGACACACATCCTTTTTAACCTTTTATTGCTCATCTAAAGTTATAAGTCCCCCGCTTTCTGTCGGTGGACGCTGCCGAGCAAACATCATTAAAGTCTCCCCTCCCACGGTGCTCATGTCTAAGCCAGAGTCTCCCAAAGGGCCCAAAAGCTACAGACGCTCTTCATCAGAGGTTTGTGCTTTGAAACAACCAAGAGTCTGAGGAGCTGCTCTGAGCAATGGGGAACACTCACAGGCTGTGTGGTGATGAGAGACCCAAACACCACGTGCTCTAGAAGCTTTGGGTTTGTCACCTATGCCACAGTGGAGGAGGTGGGTGCAGCCATGAAGGCAAGGCCATACAAGGTGGATGAAGAGTTGTGAAACCAAAGAGGGCTGTCTCAAGAGAAGATTCTCAAAGGCCTGGTGCCCACTTAACTATTGAAAAGATTTTTGTCGGTAGTATTAAAGAAGATGCTGAAGAACATCACCAAAGAAATGATTTTAAACAGTATGGGGACACTGAAGTGACTAAAATCATGACTGACCAAGGTAGTGGCGAAAAGAGAGGCTTTGCTTTTGTGATCTTTGATGACCATGACTCTGTGAACAAGACTGTCATTTAGAAATACCATCTTGTATGTTGAATAATATTGTATGTCAACTATAATTATATATACATATAGTCACGGGACATGGAGTAGAGAGCAGGAATGGAGTCAATGGAATTATAATAGATAAGCATGATATCGGGGATGGGAGGGCAGTAGATGGGGGAGGGGGGTTACTTTCTGAGGGTGAAAAGGATAACTATTGCATTGTTCTGTACACCTGAAACTAACAATAAAAAAATAAAAAATAAAAAAAATACCATCTTGTGAATGGCCACAAGTGTGAAGTAAGGAAAGCCCTATTTGACCAAGAGATGGCTAGCACTTCATCCAGCCAAAGGGGTCGAAGTGGTTCTGGAAACTTCGGTGCTAGTTGAGAAGGTGGTTTTGGTGGGAATGACAACTTTGGTTGTGGAGGAAACTTCAGTGGTTGAGGTGGCTTTGGTGACAGTTGTGGTGGTGACAATATGGAGAGTGTGGGGATGGTTATGGTGGATTTGGTAATGATGGTGATTATAGAGGGGGCGGCCCTGGGTACCCTGAAGGAAGCAGAGGCTATGGAAGTGGTAGACAGGGTGATGGAAACTAGGGCAGTAGCTATGGCGGGAGCAGTAACTATGGCAGAAGCAGCAGCTATGACAGCTGAGGAAGCAGTGGCAGCAATTTTGGAGGTGGCGGAAGCAGTAATACAATGATTGTGGCAGTTGCAACAATCAACCTTCAAATTTTGGACCCATGAAAGGAGAAAACTTTGGAAGCAGCAGCTGTGACCCCTACTGAGGTGGAGGGCAATACTTTGCAAAACCACGAAACCAAGGTGGCTATGGTGGTTCCAGCAGCAGCTGTAGATAGGGCAGTGACAGAAGGTTTTAATTACTGCCAGGAAACAAAGCTTAGCAGGAGAAGAGAGTCAGAGAAGTGACAGGAAGCAACAGGTAACGCAGATTTGTGAACTCAGCCAAGCACAATGGTGGCAGGGCCTACCCGCGATAAAGAAGACATGTTTTAGACAATACTCATGTATATGGGCAAAAAACTCGAGGACTATATTTGTGACTAACTGTGTAACAGGTTATTTTAGTTTCTGTTCTGTGAAAAGTGTTAAGCATTCCAAAAGGGTTTTAATGTAGATTTTTTTTTTGTACTCATGCTGTTGATTGCTAAATGTAATAGTTTGATCATGATGCTGAATAAATGTTGTATAAATAGATACATACATACATAAAGTTGTAAGTCCCTCTGATTGAGAACTATATCCTTAAACATCAGTTATCTATTTGCTGCCACTTGTCAATTCATTTTAGTAAAATCCACATAATCCAAAAGATAACAAGGTCACTGATATACATGTTAGCCGTCAACCAATACATTCAGACTTATTAATCAGTAAGAACGCCACTGTACAAAAATTCAGGTGTCAAAAGAGTTAAATTAACTCAGAATCAATCTTTTCAATTAAACATTATGTCACTTTTCATTATAGCTGTGATCATAACAGTAAACATGGTTACCTTTCATTCCAGGTAAAACGTACCAATTAAACCTATATAATTGGAATGCCTTGTTTTATAAGCAGCACCCTTTTAAATATATAACCTTTATGTAAAATGTATAATGCATAAACAAAAGCACTAGCTGAATGGACTGGTAATCTTTTGGTATTGCTATCATTCCCACGCTGGTATTTAGGATTTCCCAACCTTTTTCTTGCCCCTACCCAGCATTAGAAACATGGAAAAAGTGGATCCAGCCAGGAAAAAACTAACTGGAAAATAACAGATGAGAGTAGCAGATAGGAAAGCAGAGAGTTCAGTGCCTGGGGCCAAAGAAAAAATAGAAAGTGAAAGCCAGCTTAGAGCAATAATGTGACATTTGGGGAAAACTAATAACAACAAGAGCCCAAAACCCACAGCTACAATCCTGGTTCCCACCTCTGGAAAATTAGAATGAGGACTGGAGTTCATTTCTATAATCTGCAGCCTGGCACCAAAGCAGCAAAAGTGTAAACAAGAGGAAAGAGAATTCTTGAATGTACTACAACAAAAGCCAATGTTTTCCTGGCATCCCAAAATGACAACCTAAAAGTATTTTCCCATTATAGTCCCACCACGTGTAATTTTCTTTCCAGTATACTGGAAACCTCTAGGTTAGGCAGTACACTGGGCAGAAAGTGCATCCAATGGAAAAGAATTCTAGTCCACTTGGAAAATCATGTTTAGAAATGACATGGTGTAATAATGCTTTTATTTTATTCTCAAAACTTCCTTGTAATGAAAAACAGGTTACCAAACTTTTAGAGATAAAACATCTTGAGGCTCAGAGGGTCTACAAATATACAGCAAATAAGTCAGTAGAAAAGCAAACTCCATTTTTTTGTTCAGCTACACTAACACTGTACAGCTTCTCTGGACATATGTGGTTATATAATTGGAAAATATTTTGGCAAAAGAATTAGTATTAAGTTTTAGTAAGTTATGAACAACGTTGTATATACACTTGCCTTCACTACAGAAGGGTCTCTTAACCCCAGAGAAATTCACTGTTTCATGAAGAGTCTTCTCCTCTTGGCAGTACTCGCAGTACGTAACTATGCAGTGCAGCTTCTTATAGTCGTCTGAACAGGTCCTGCTGCAGAATTGGTGCACTTTGTTCTACATGTACAGTGGGAACCTCGGTGAGTATAGAACAAACACCTCAAAAACAAGTATAAGACATAAACAAGCCACATTTACAGAAACCAAGTTAACTCATTTCCCTACTTAATGTTATAATCCTTTGGGCTACATTTCCGATACAAGACACGTAGTTTAACTAATTTGCTGCTATATTTAGACATAGCTCCACAAAATTCAATACCATTAACTACTTTAAATTACAGTGGAAGAGCACAAGTATCACTAAAACAAGATGGCAATCTGATGTTGCTAACAGAATTGGTGAAATGGGAAGAAAACAATGAAAGATACAACATAGGTAAGCTACAGAATATGAGAATTATGACATTAACAGCATTTTCACTCAAAAAGAAGTACTCTTTATTGAGTGTGGTCAGGTAGGCTCAATCCCACTCCTATCACACTGAAGAGTAACAGACCTATAGTGGGGAAGGTATTCAGTCTGCAGCCATCACACAGTGTGCTGCTAAGCTCGAAACTGAGTTGGTTCCCTTGAACAGATCAAGGTTAGTAATTATTTAGTTATTCCTGGCCCCAAACAAGAGTCAGAGATACTTTTCAAATATGCAGCCAAACAGGAACAAGTTAAAACGTCCAGAGCAGCAGGATTTCCTGTTATTGTAGAGGACACAGACTAGGTCTTAAACCACCTACCGAACAGTAGCAAAGATACCTGAACACCAAGATAAGGAAGGTGAGAGAGTCCAGGGAGCAACTCAAGTAGTAAGGTGATCAACAGTGGGAAGGTGCCCCACCACAGGCATATACCATGCAACAAGACACAAGGGGCCCCGGAATTCTATCACCTGAGGAACAGGTTCACCTCTCACTCAGTTTGATGGTGTCTCTTAACTCTTTTCCACACTTATGCTCCATGTAAATAAAAGCCACACACCAACAAGACTGCAAAAGCAGGACAGTGCTAACATGGAGAACTCATTTTCATCTGCTATTACCAGAATTCAGTTAGTGCAGGGTCTTCACTTCCTAGAAGATACTACTCTATGTGCTTGTTTGTGGGTTTCTTTCCTCATCACCCACCATTCCCTTATTCTTTCCTACTGGGCCTTCAACATTCTTCCTGCTATAACTTAAGGAAGGTTTTAATCACTAAAAATCATCCCTGGGTGCCAACATCAGTCTCAGTGATTGATTGGCTTAAATCTTCTTGAGACTGTACCAAACAAAATAACAAACTGAACAATTTTCTACGGACTGAAGTGTTAAAATAATGAAGCTTCAGATTTCCAAAGCACTTTAGGTATCATGTAGTCTGGTTCTGGGGATCATTTTTGCCTAAGACTGCCAACAGTCACTAATAAGTTGTGGCTCACGAGCAATCTGTTGTTGGTAGTATACCTTGTACACCATTTTTACATACTCCAGGCCCTCAAAATAGGTGAGAGAAAGAATGGCCAAAGATGAACACTGATCAAGAAAACAATGTTCGGAGAGGGCCATCTTATCCATCCATCCATCTGCCTATTTTACTGTCCCCTTATTGAAATAAAAGTCAATGATCAGAGTTTTTGCTAATGGCAAAAAGATATGGCAAAGTAAATTAATAAACTGGTGAAGGCAAAGTGATGAGGAAGAGAGAATAAAATCAATTTAAATTAGGTTTATTAAGTACAACATAGGAAATACAGTCAATAATATGGTAATAACTATGTATAGTGCCAGGTAGGTAATAGACTAATTGGGGGACCACTTCGTAAATTATATAAATGTCTAACCACTATGCCATACACCTGAAACTAATAAAAAATATTAAATGTCAACTGTAATTGAAAAAAATTATATTAGGATTATTTTATTAAAACACACTTATAAAAGGTTAAATGACAATACAGTAAATGTTGTTTTATAGGTAGCAGGCCAAATTCTGTTTTACAGATAGCAGGTCATACAAGATATTAAAGAGTTCATAGAAAATATTTATAAGGACAGGAGGTAAATGGGGAAATACTGTACAAACAAATGCTCCAGGTATGTAGCTAAACAAGTGACACTACATACACTATTATTAGCATAATATATAGTGAATACGACTTCAATAATTTTTTGTTTTACCTAAAAAGAAACAGATTGTTTGTTGGTGCCACTCCCACATAAGTAAATAATCCAGTCATCACAAAACCTGAAATCTAATGTTTATCCACTCAGAAATAGGTTCTCAGACGGAAATGTCATAGTTATTTTACTAGACATTCATTTGAGTGCTAAACAACATACATAACAAAATATGACTTGCCTCCCATTCCAGGATTTCTGGCTTTGAACAAAAGGAATTTTTGCAATAGTTGCATTTCAACTGAATATCACTTGGGGCTACAAACTGGCCATTTGGAGATGACTGCATACTTAGAGCCTAAAACAAAACAAAGAACAAAACATACTGACTCTGGCATGAATTTTAGAATGTTTATTTGTGACAACTGTCAAGTATCCACTATGTCCAGAAAATAGTATGCATTTTGCTTAAATATTTCTTCAACACTTAAAATTACATTCTGAATTTTGTCTTTAAAAAGTATACTAGGGGGCCAGCCGAGTGGCACATTGGTTAAGAGTTGGCTTGGGAGCGCCAGCTCTGAGCAGCAGGGTCAGGGTTCGGATCCCACATGAGGGCTAGTGATGATGTGCGCTCTACAGCTAAGATGGTGAGCAACAGCCAGACCTGGAGCTGGGCTGCTGAGAGTCGCTGGCAATGGCGCAGGCTGCAATGAGGCTGCAGTGGGCTGCCGTGAGCGGCTGGCAGCTGGTGTGAGCTGCCGTGAGCCGCCATGAGAGGCCATCCAATGGCCGGCGAGCAACTGCCTCACCTAGGAAGAGCGCAATGATAATACCAACATGGTCCAGTGAAGCGACATCCTCCACAACTAAACTGAAGAACAAAAGGACAGCAACTTGTCTGTTCCCCTCCCCTAATTCCCCAATAAAATCTTAAAAAAAAAAATGCAGATTTAAGACAGTAACTATCCTATCAGGTTAATACATTTTTTAAATAAAAACCACCAACATTACTCCTAGTGTTTCCAAAAAAATTGAAGTCCATTAAAGTTAAGTATTTTTTTTAAAAAATGAAAAACTATCCTATTATCTTATTTTGAAATGGAAAACATCTACTGAACACAAATTTTTAAATCTATGGTTTGCTTTAAGATAAAGGGAAAGGAAAAACACTGTTTTTCTATTTGTCAAACTTGTATTACTTTTATGCAGAATCACAAAGTGAAGAGGCTGCCTATAGGCTTATCTGGACACAATCCTCAGAAGCAAGAGTCTAAATTAAATGATTCTTTAAAATATACAATATACAATTGTCTCATTAAGTGATGGGCAATACGAGTTTCGATTAAAAGAAAAAGGCAGCTAAAATATTTTCAATTAACATTTCAGTTTACCCAACATCAAAAAAAAATAGTTACAGTCTGACAAGCAGCACGCCAAAGACACTGTACTTCACTCATCTGCTTAATCCTTATTCCTTAATTTCTGGTTTATGAAAAGCCAACATGTCAGAAGCAGTATTTATCACCCTAAGGATTTATCTGTGGCCAGGGTCCCAACTTCCAAAATAAAAGTTTAGACTTGAATGTGGTTTATCACCTAAACTCAGTCGAGGATATAACTATGAACACTCAGCTGGCTGAATTCAAAACCACCTCAACTGAAATGCTAATAACTGTTGAAACTACTGCAGCATAATTAAGAGACTGCATTTGCAGTTTAAATAAATGAACATAGAGTGCAGTGCCTGCAACACAGTAGAACTATTGGTCAAATTAACTCATGAAGCATTGCTTTGTGCACTGGTTTGAACCTTTGCTTAATACCCTAAAATGCTCACACAGAGCAGCTAAATCTACTCTTACCACTTAACTAATGCCAAATCCCCTCTAAAATGTCCTTCCTAGTGGCCAACAGACTCACGTTTGAACACCTCCAGTAATGCTATCTTCTGAGACTATTCATATGCCACCTCTGAGGAATGAAAAATGTCTCCTTGAAACTGATCTTGTATTAAATTAGGGGCTATTTACTATAACAAGCCCAATCCCCTTTTTACCCAGTATGTTTCTAATATATGAAGAAAACATTTATACTTATCACTTCCTGGTTAAATATACCTACGTCCTTCATAAAACAGAGTTCTCCTTAAGAGTCACATGATGTTATTCAAACCATCTCAGAAAATACACATCAGGCACTGAGCTCAACTTAATTTCCTTCCTATATCATAAATACAATTAAAAAGTCAATTAGATTATCTGTGGTAAGTAGAGAGCTGACACAGCTATGTCTACTGTGACTCTAGAATCTCTACCTACCAATATGACCCTCAACAAGCTGTAAAAAGTAGCACCTTAAGTAAAGATAAAGCATAGAACACTGTTTATTTTCTATGTATATTTTACTGGAGGGCGGGTTAAACAAAATAAGTAACTAACCTGAAATTTAGCCACACAATTGGAATTGCAGAAGTTATACAGTTTTCCATCAGGCATTGTGGCTTGATATTGAGGTAAAGAGTTTCGCTTACAAAAATGGCAAATAATTCCCAAACCTAGGAGAGAAAGAGAACATATTTGATTTGTTTATAAAGTAACAAGTTTTTTTTAAAACATCTTAATTGACTTCAGAATAGTTTCTTAATGGAATCTTCTGTAAACTATCCTTTTATTAATTTCCAAGATTATTTACACCTTAACAAATACTGTCATAAAAGAGTCTGATATTATAGTCTCTAAAACACACACCGATACACGAAACAATCTCAGAGCTAGATGATGTTTGGAATGAAAAAACAGTTTTGGCTGGTAACACAGATATGGACAGAACTTCATCAATAATTTAAAAATTAAAAGAAATATGGAATGACCAAAACCATTAAAAAAGTTTTCAATAAGGAAGTTTAGTGAGCTAATAAAAATAGTTCATGCAGTTAAAACAAGCATAAAAATGAAGTTAAAGAAGAGAGAACAGTTAGGAAATTAGTCCTGTTATTAAAGTTTTTTAACTCCCCAAATCCCTGAAACTTACTTTGTGATTTTGCATATTTTGTCTTGTGACTGTTCATGCAAGCAGTTGAACAGTATGGCTCCATATATCCATTAGGACCTATACACTGAGTCATATCAAAAAACCTGCACTGTGTTCGGCAACCAGTACAAGTGGTCAGTTTTCCATATTTCTAAAATTTGAAACATAAAAAGATAGTTAAGAAAACCACAATTTAACTAGAAACAATTATCATATTTTTCATTACACCTCCTCTCTCTGCAAAACTCTGTTAATCTTGAATCAGGCTTAGTGAGTCAGAAGTCTTCATCTGGATGCAGACTATTAAGTGCAATGCAACTGAATGAGGTTCAAAGAAAAAGTAATGATCTCAGCTCTCAAAAAGTGTATGTTCTTAATCATTAGGTTTAACAGAATCCCTACATATATGTAAGTAAAAACTGAAAATTAAAGAAAGGCACAGTGTTTTCTGTTTATAATAATGACACGTTTCTTTGTCATTTGACAGAACAAATTAAATGTACCTAAAATGTAAGTCTTAATAATCAAGTGAATACAGTCTTTCAGAGAAATAATTTGAAGCTGTTAAATACTTATCCCATTGAGCTGCTGTTGCTGCAAGCACTTCTGGAACATCTCTTAAAACTAATTTATCACCTAGTTACATTTAGAACCTTATTCAACCATAAAATACAAAATAAAATTTAATATTTTTAATTTTAAAAAACCTCATTCAAAATGATTTTTGGCTATTAACTAAAGTTAATGACTAGTCAATAGATAATAATGAAGTCAATCCTGCCAACAGTGAAATTTGCAAACACTGATGTAATTCAAAGAAATGAGATAAAATACATGAAAGTAAAACAAGGAGGTACACTTTGAAAATTCCGAGACAAAAGCAGTATCACTTAATATATAGTCTTACAAAAATACAATTCAAATGAACTGGTATGTTTGTATTAAAAAATATACTTGATAGTCACAAGCCTTATAGAGCAACTTTTATTTGATCTCTCTTCTGAGCAGTCACAGAACTGTCATCATCAAATATCACATATCATGTTGCAAAATAATTGTATCCATCTTTCCATCTGATGTTGAGATCATTTTATTTAGTCACCTGCATCTAATACAATATGATGATATAAGAAGGCCTCAAAATGTTCCATGGATGGATGAATAACAGATGTCAGGGAAGATGACATTCAGGCCAAAAATAACATAAAATGGGTAAACTGTGAATAAATTTCACGAACAGTAAAGGATTTTAGAAAACAAAGGTAATAAAATTGAAGGTAGAAACAATAACCAAAAACAAATAACATCAACATAAAAAAATCAACTTTCTAAGCATATAACAAACAGAACAGATATGAGAAAACCCAGCTATTTATGTGCCAGAAAGGAATGTTATATTCATCTGGTACCATGAAAAATAACCCATGTTGCCTATTTCTCATTTACTCAAATAATGCTTAGTGGAAACCCTAATGTTTTATTTTCAAAGTGGAAATTAACTGATTCTTTAATTTCTGACAGGTTCCAAAAAGAAATACTTACAAATAACCAAAGTATGGTAACAAGGAAGAAGAAAGAATAGACCTATTAAGTCGAATTATGACTCTCCCAGTGTTATAAGGATCACAGAGGAGAATGCTCTGGTTTCTGTTTAGAATGACAATGTTTTCCTAAGGCCTATATAATAATGTAAAATTTTATATTGGGAAAAGATCAAAGAAAACACATCAATAAAACAATGGAAGATAAAAGAATGTTTAAAATCTGACACCACTGTACAAATTAGGAATACTAAAACTATCAGGACACCTGCCATTGTATAAATAGCAGGATCACTGAGAGAAAAACAAAACCACTCCCAGTAGATATACGCATGAAACTTCCACTAGCAGTACCTATAAAGAATTCTTTCACCAAAAATTCAATAAATGAAGTCCAACTGTCTAATCTAATCTTAGATTTGATTATTTAAATTTATTACAAACATCCTTCAAGTTGACAATGATTTTATTGCCAGAATGATTAAGTAATTAGTAAGTTTTAAGATGTACCAATAAAAATAGACCAGTTGAACTGAGTCAAGTAAACAAGGAACTAAGCAACTGGTCCACACTGACAAATACAATTATCTGAAGAGAATGAGAAAGTACTATCAGAAAGATAGACTCATTAATACTGAAAATATTTTAACACAGCTACTTTCATAGCTACCACTACTTCAAAAACAAAAGGACCCATTTAATGAAAGAACATTAGCAAAAAAAGAAATAAATGTTCATGCCATGTTTTCTCTGCTTTATAAGTAAACAATCAGAATAATCATTTAAATTTCATGCATCTATAAATATGCATGCATCTATAAATATGCATTGTGTGATATAAAGGAATGAAATTAAATGGAACAAATTCACAATTAATATATTCCCCATCCAGGCATGGGACAAAATAAACCTACTTACAAATTCAGTGCAAAAAAATGAGGTAGAACTGATTGAAACAAAATACTGGCAGGTAAAAGGTAAATATAATGTGAGTTTATGCCAGATTCAGTCTACTCATTGAAAAAAAGGTGCCTTACATTTTAACCAATTCCACATGAATATCAAAATTGACCATCAAGTGATTTAAAAACTTTCCCCTAATTTTTCCTTTTACATGTGAGTAACACATTTCATTTAGTACATTTTGACCAAGTGAGTGGACAACATGAGTAGGTGCTCCAGAGATAAAAGTTTCATGTCCTTGCTGCTGCAAATCTAATCTAGGATATGGGCACCAACATCTAGCCAGCACGGAACCTACTTCCTAGCCACATTCAAATAAAACGTGAACTAACTTGGGTCCATAGCACTGCATGGAAAAAATATTACCTTTATATTCATTAACATCTAACTGAAACGTGGGCTTTTCTTTCATTCAGATTGGAGGCAACAAACCACGTTAAGTTTTAGCAGAACCTGTGGCTTTGTGAAAAATAAAAATCCCCAGCTTTTTATATCATACTAGAAGACAGCTCAATATATTATTATGTTCAACGTTACTTCAGAAAATACTGTAGTTATTAACCATAGTATCTTATTACTTAATGCATTCATAAAATACATATATCACACTTTGAAATGTGATTTGAAAACATTTTCTAAAGTTTTACTATTTTGATTAATTGATTCTAGTTGTAATCATAGGTATTTTATTTTCTACATTTAACAACATTCTGAGAATTGGTCTATTCATATTACCAAGGGAGTCAAAGCACAAAAATGGTGAAGAATCTTGATTAGAGGAGGTGTCATAAAACTTCAACGACATGATATTGTACTAATTTTTACACTATGTGAAGATTAAAAGATAAATTCAAGTAATATGTTTATTCAATAAAACCCTAATAGTATCTCTTTATGTTACAAGATGTTTAGGCAGAGTAAAAGTCTGAAACATCTATACACTATCATGTTTTACTTTTCTTCATTATTGTATAGTTTACAATTTTTCTTTTAACACACATATAATACTTGCAATTTTTAAAATTTTTCTGATTGACAATGGATGTAAAAATAGTGGGTAAAAAGTCTGCTAGGCAACAGGATATTTACAGAGCATAATATATCCCCCCCAAAAAATCTTAATAAATACAGAGGTAAAAAGACAAGTGTACTCTGGAGAAATCTGACAGACACCTCCTTAACCATGTGAGCCAGACTAGCATACAGTTATGAGCCAAAAGACATCGTGTGCCTCCTGCAGGGTGCACGAGACAGACACAATATTACTCATGAGGTGCTCATGCAAACAAATGTCCTCCCTCTGTCTCATCCTGAGAAAACATCAGACAAGCTCAAGCTGAGGACACACTACCACATGTCCTGTGGTATTCAAAACGTCATGGTCATGAATGATAAAGAAACAACGGGGAACTGTTTCACATTAAAACAGACAGGACTTCCACCCCCAGCCATGATGGAGTAACACAGACTAGATTTAACCTCCCACCTTTAACAACCAAAAAAAAACTAAAAAAGAGATATGAATCAATGGCTTTTAAACATTGCACAAAACACAGTATAACTCATTATATAGAAATAAAAAACCAAGTTGTAGAAACAGATCTAGGAATGACGGATATGAAAGTGGTAGACAAAGATGTTAAAAGAACTATGATAAATATGCTGATATATTCAGGAAATCAGTAGAGGAAAACATGAATATAATGAAGCAAGGAATAGAAGATATAAAAATGACCCAGATGGAACTTCCAGAGATGACAAATACAAGACCTGAGATGAAAGAAAAGTATACCCCATTTTATTTGATGAGGTTTCTTTGATAAGAAAAGATTAGTAAAACTAAAGATTCAACAATAGAGGGTCAGCCGAGTGGCTCGGTTGGTTAAGAGTTGGCTTGGGAGCGCGAGCTCTGAACAGCAGGGCCGCAGGTTTGGATCCCACATGGGCCAGTGACACTGTGCCCTCTACAGCTAAGATTGTGAACAACAGCTCGACCTGGAACTAGGCTGCCGTTGAGTGGCCAGTGATGGCGTAGGCTGCAGTGGAGCTGCAGTGTGCTGCCACGAGCTGCGATGAGTGATCAGCAGCCACTGTGAGCGACCAGCAGTCAGCAGCCGGCGAGAGCTGCCGTGAGCTGCCATCCAATGGCCAGTGACCAACTGCCTCAGCCGGGATGAGCGCAATGATAATACCAACACGGGCCAGTGAAGTGACGTCCTCCACAACTAGACTAACGAACAAAAGGACAGCAACTTGTCTGTTCCCCTTCCCTGATTTCCCAATAAAATCTTTAAAAAAAAAAAAAAGATTCAACAATAGAAACTACCCAAAATGAAGCAAAAAGGAAAATGAGACCAAAAAAAAAAAAAATCCAATAAATAATAGAGCCACAGTGATTATAGGACAACAACAGGAAGTCTAACATATCTGCAAGTGGGGTCTCAAAAGAAGGGGGTGGGGGAGACAAAAAAAAATTTTTTAATAAAATAACAACCTATTATCCTGGATTACATGGGTCCCAGACAAGTCGTAATTTTTTTCCATTTGCTATAGGGACATTAATGGACAAAATGTGAATAAGGTCTGTAGATTAATCAAATAACATTATTATATCAAAATAAAATTCTTTTTGATCATTGTACTATATTTACAATTATTCCTAACTGCATGCATCTTTATTCATGTATTAATTTATTAATCTAGAGTAATGGGAATATAGATTTGGAAATGATTTTGAAAGAAAGGGTTTCTTTTATCTTTCAAGTAGGCACAAAAGAGAGGCACTTTTATATCCTATAATTAAGTGCCTACTGTGGACAAGGTACTGTGCATTAAAAAATTATATCTGAAAGTAATTTTTTAACAACATAAACATCTAAAAGCAAATGAGCTTATCACAGGAAAATACATGTAAAGTTTAGTGAAATAAAAAAGTTTGTGTATGTCTTAGAGATAAAGTAGGAAAACTATCATCTAATATTTTTTAAGTTCATAAATTTTAATATCCAGACTATCTCACTTTATTGCGATTCGCAGATACTGAGTTTTTTAAAAATTGAAGACTCCCCACCAGTGAAGATCACTGAAGGATCAGATGATGGTTAGTATTTTCTAGCAATAAAATAGTGTTTAATTAAGGTATGTACTTTTTTAGACACAATGCTATTGCACGCTAAATAGACTACAGTATATTGTAAACATAACTTTTATATGCCCTGGAAAACCAAAAAATTCTGTGACATAGTTTATTGCGATGCTTGCTTTACTGCAGTGCTTTGGAACTGAACCCGCAATATCTCCGAGGTGTGCCTGTACTTCAAACTGCACATGATTTTTCAGATACGTAATAAAAACAGTAGCAATGCATGAAATTGTCAGCTACATTCCTGCTTACCTCAGGCTGCATTAAGAAAGAGTCCTGCATGTGATCTCGAACCTCCTTCAGGAAGCTTGGATGGCTACCTACCTAAAAAAAGATTTTCAAACACTTTATAAATACACATTAAGAAAGGCTGCTACATAATAAAAAATAATTTAATTTAAAAAAAAAGGCTACTAGACTGAAACACAAATCAGCAATCTATAAAAGCTGATTTGTAATTACCTCTTTGTGACTTACAAACTCATTCCAACTTTTAAAAATGCCTATCTGTCCTATCCCGAGTGCCCAACTTAGAGAAGAATTATTAAATATAGAAATGATCCTACAGAAAAAAAAATCATTTAATAATAAAACAATATAATAATGGGGCAAGGAATTAAAAATACACCCTTAGATATGACTCACCTATAAGTAGACCTTGTAAAACATCTTACATGTAAAACATCTTATTTCTCTTACATGATAATGTATTCTAAGATCTCATTGAAGTCTATTAATACTTATAATGATAACTCAAAGCATTCTAAATTAAGTGATTTGTAGGTTGTGCAGTTACAATTTTCACCATCTGCAAATGGGTTGTTTTGGAAACTAATTTTAAAGCACACATGATAGCTTCCAGTACATATGAATTTACATCCTTACTCCTTGCAGAAAGCATCCTGCTTTCCGAGAAAGTCAAAACACTATACAATAAAATAAAAAATAATTGAAAGTATTAAGCATTATAGTCTCCACTGCCAGGATCTAGATTATCAGTATGCTCCAGAAACTAACTGAGCAATGGAGACATGAACAACAATAGCAGCCAAGTTCAATGTTAGAGACAAATGTCAAAACGGGAGGGGCAGGCAGGGACAAGAAAAGATCACCGTATGATTTAGTTCCATATGATTTTTTTTCTACAGGAAAAAAAAAAACATTCAGTATAGCATCTTGTGTAATGGTCTCCAAACATGTCTGACTGTGTCCCCTTATCATTAACAATATATGCATGGATTCCCATTTATTTACTTATAAGTTATGAATATATAGTATATGAATTATGAAACATGAAAATATTTTAAAAATGAAAGATGAAACTATTTTTAAATAATTTTTATTTTATTTAATAAAAGAACAAAGAAAAATTTTGATATTCACTAGAGTGGAATCATCTGGTGTCAGTGGAGGCTATGTGGGTAGCAGTAAGGAGGTACTCTACTCCTCCCAGTCAGGGTGGAATCAGCCAAAGCTCAGAGGGGAACCAGAACTCCTATGCCCACCCACCCAACAATAACAAGGAGCTCCTCCTCGTTCCACGGGTATCAACAGAGGCCACTTGGAGAGTCTGAACTTCTACCTCCACTGGGCAACAGACAGGTGGCGCCTTCCTTTCCCTGCCAGAGCAGTGTCAAATAAAGCCAGCTACAGCAGAAGATTTAAATAACATCCAGAGTATTATAACATAATACCCAAAATGTCCAGGCTGCAATAAAATAAAATAAAAATCACTTATCCTACGAAAAACCAGGAAAACAACAATTAGATAGAGACAATTAATAGATGCTAACACTTAAAGTACAGAGATGTTAGAATTAACTGACAAAGATTTTTAAAGCAGCTATAATAAAAATGCTTCAACAAGAAACAAAAGCCAGTTAACAAGGAAAAAAAGAGATTCTTATCAAAGAAACAGAAGATATAAGAAGAACCAAATGGAAATTCTAGAACCGAAAAAGGTCTGTAACAGGAAAAAAGAAAAAAATCAATGGATGAGGTATGTCAAAAGAACACAGGAGCCAAGTGAAAGTGCTCCCTATGGCCAAAGGTAGAAAATTACAAGCAAAAAATTAAATAAAGTACAACTGAATTATAACCCAAAGTATATTAATAAATGACTGAATAAATTAATAAATGTAGAAGACACAAATCTCCTATGCAGAAAATCCCAGATACTTATATACTTCCCACTAAAGAGGAGTGACGTCATTCCGAAGAGTACAACATGGGAATGGGAAGAGGAAGAGGAGATTTCACAATTGAAAATCCTGACAAACAGTACTTCAGCAAGGTGATCAACATTAACAGTTATAAATCACACTGATAGAGGTACCTTTGTTATGTGATGAAAATGACAAAAGTGTAAAAAGTAAACACCTTTTTTTTTTTTTAAAGATTTTTATTGGGGAATTGGGGGATGGGAACAGACAAGTTGCTGTCGTTTTTGTTCTTCAGTTTAGTTGTGGAGGACACTGCTTCACTGGCCCAAGTTGGCACCATCATTGCACTCTTCCCGGGAGAGACAGATCAGTCTCCGGCTTCTGGACGGCCACTCACGGCGGCTGCTGGCCGCTCACGCTGGCTGCTGGCTACACACGGTAGCCCATGGCAACCCACTGCAGCAGGGGCTGCAGCCTATGCCATCGCCGGTGACTCCAGGTTGAGCTGTTGTTCAGCATCGTAGCTGTGGAGGGCAGTGTCACTGGCCCTCATATGTGGGATCTGAACCGGGGCCCTCTGGCGTCCCAAGCCAGTTCTTAACCACCGCGCCACTCGGCCGGCCCAGTAAACACCTTTTTGATCTTCCTTCTAAGAATCCACAGCCCCAGTATGTCTAATAATGAGAAAAACATCACACAAATTCTAATAGTGGGGCATCTTACAATTACCTGACTCCTAACAACTGTCAAGGTCATAGAAAAAAAAGGGGGAGGAGTGGGGAATGGATTAAAAAAAAAATCACAACCAAGGTGACATCAATACTGACTATAATGTGATAATCTAGATGGAATCCTAAAACAGAAAAGGGACATTATGTAAAATTTAAGAAAATGTGAATGAGCTGTGAACTTTACGTAACAATAATATATTAATATCACTTCATTAACTGTAACAAATGTATCATGTTAATTTAAGCTGTCAACCAAAGGGAGAACTGAGGGGAGGGGCTATAACAAGAGAACTCTGTATCACCTGCTCAATTTTTTGTAACCCTGAAACTATTTAAAAAAAAAATTAAGCATTAGTAAAAAAACAACAACAAAAACCCAATGGATGGGACTAATAGCACAATGGAGAAGGCAGAGAAAAGAATCAGTGAAGGGAAAACAGAAATTACCCAATTTGAACAACAGAAAGAGAACAGACTTGGAGGTTTTGGAAAACCTTTGAAAAAAAAAAAGAGCCTCAGGGATCTGTTGGACTGTGACAAAAGAGACAGGGATGAAAAATCACTCAAAGAAATGTGTGAAAATGTTACAAATCAGGCAAAAGATAGAAACCTACAGATAGAAGACGCTGAGCAAACCCTAGGAAAGGATAAACCGAAAGAATCATAACACATCTCAGTCAAATTTCCGAAAAAATTTTAATAATTTGAATAATATTAAAATGTAAATAAAAATAAAGACAAAAAAATCTCGAAACCAGTGAAAGAAATGGAGAAACAGAATTGGAATGATAGCCTAGGAAGAAAAAACTTTTAGACAATAGCCCCTCCACTCCATCCAAACACCACAGAAAAAAAATGTGGCACTAACCCCACCCACACCAGCAGAGGCCAAGTGGAGAGCTTGACTCGCACCCTGGCCTGGTTTCAAGGCGATGTCCAGCCCCAGCAACCCAGTTAGGGTGATGTTAGAAAACACCAAGTAGGGAACCTGAACTAGTTCTACCCCATCAGGAATTAACAAGATGCCCTATCACCTACCCCCTCAACATGAGAACTAGTTGAAAGAGTCAGGACTTTGGCCAGCAACCAGCAATAACAAAATTACAATTACAGAGTCTGTGGAGCAGAAAGAAAAAAAGGAATGAAGAAAAGTGAACAAAGCCTAAGAGACCTGTGGGACAGATGGAGGGGGCCAACATGTGTATTGAGAGTCCCATAAGAGAAATATAGAAAACAGGCAGAAAGATTATTTGAAGAAATAGTGGCTGAAAACTTCACAAATTTGATAATGGACAAAAATGTAAAAAAACTAAGAAGCGTAACAAGTTACAAGTAGGATAAACTCAAAGAGACACACAAAGGACACATTATAGTCAAACTATTTAAAAACAAAGAATCTTGAGCAGCAATTACAAGGAATCCTCAATAAGATTTTCGACCAATGTCTCATCAGAAACCATGGAGGCCAAAAGGCAGTGAGACAACATTACGTAAAATGCTGAAAGAAAAAACCTTTCAAACAAGACAGCAAAATTATTCACCAAACATGAAGGAGAAATAAAGACATACCCAAATAAAAGCTGAGGGATGTCATTTCCACTAAACCTACCCTATAAAAAAAATGCTGAAAAAGTCAAAGATTTATGCTGAAATGAATGGGAACTAGACAGTAACTTCAGAAGAATGAAGGACTAAAGATCTTTACTATAAGTAAGTACATGAACAAATATAAAATGCAGTATTATTAAATTTTAATTTGTAAGTTTCTTATTTCCTATACGATTTTAAAACAGTCACAAAAAAAAACTGTAAATCTCTGTTATTAGGCACACAATGTTTAGATGCAATTTAATACAGTATAAGGAGAGCAGGGCTATAAAGGAACAGAGCTTTTATGTGTCAATTAAAATAAGTTATCAAGTCATATCAGACAGATATAAACTTAGGATGTTAAATGTTAAATGTAATCCCCATGGTAACCACAAAGACAATACCTAAAAATTACACACAAGAGGAAATGAGAAGAGAACCAAACAACTCACTACAAAAAATCTACTAAATACAAAAGAAAGCAGTAATGGAGGGAATGAGTTACAGAAAAGGTATTAGATATACAGAAAAACAAAACAAAAAGGCAAAAAAAACATCCTTACTTATCAGGAATACCTAATATAAATACATTAAATTTTTTTCCAATCAAAAGGCAGACATTGGTAGAATGGAAATAAAACTTGATCCAACTATATGTGGTATGTAAAGTGATTACATACAAATTCACAAATAGATCAAAAGTAAAATAATGGAAAAAGATATTCCATGCAAAAGCTAAAAGTGGAAGCAGGAGTTTCTATATTGATATCAAACAAAATAAACTTTTGAAAACTTGATCAAAAACGGATATGAGAGGCTGGCCGAGTGGCTCATTGGTTAC